TCCCAGTCATTCCCCTCGCTGGCCAGCAGAGGTCACCATCACCAGACTTTTGACATTACATCATCCACTGACTGATTAGCACTCACACCTGCACTACATCTCCTAATCACCTGGCTCACACTTATAAGCAGCACACACACACAGCTTCATTGCGAAGTCTTGTTCTGCCCCGGCTAACACTACTGAGCGTTCTCATCCTTGCCTGCTTTCCCGTTGTGATCCTGCTTCGTCCTCTGACCCAGTCTTGCCTGCCGCCTGCCTTGTACTCCAGCCTGAATCCCTACTTTGATCCTAGCCGCCTGCCTTTGAACTCTAGCCTGCTTACCGAGTCTGATACTAGTTGCCTGCCTCTGACCCATGCCTGCATACTCATCCTGTGTTTACCTGCCGCCAGCCCGACGACTACATACTACTGTGTTTGATGTGAGTTTGCGCACGCACAACATCTGTGTGCTATTGTTTATTAAACTGTGTTTAATAAAAATACTGCAAATGGATCCCTCTGTGTCAGCCACTTTGTTACACCGACAGCCACATCTCTAGCCATCTCATATTTTGAGATGACATCTTCATTCATGATCAATCCCATCTTCTGCACTCTGCTATTGAAGGGCAGGTTCAAGTTTTCCTGGGTCTGGTGTATCATATGGCGATTGTTTCATATTGACGTCAATATAAAACGACTAAAAATTTGAAACCAAAACTATTCCTCTAAACGACTGAATGAAAATCAGTAGTTAATGAACTTTCAGATTTAAACTTCAACTGGACGATGTCATTCACTTCAGCTGTGTTACATAATGCAAGTAAGGTGATTTTCAAAAACCCATAATAAAGGCTTTAAGTCCACTTTGCAATGTCGATCTATACCAGGATTCTGACTAGAACCAATAAATCAGAGCACATCACACTTGTTTCTCAGGTCTTTGCACTGGCTCCCAGTTACATTCAGAATAGATTTCAATGTATTATTACTTGTCTATGCAGAGCCATTTGGGCGAGCTGAGCTCCGAGGGGGAGCTTGAGCTTGAGCTCCACCTTTTTGCACTTCTTCTACGAGTGATGTCACTGGGGGTAGGGTTAGGGGTGGGGTTGGTGTACGCATTAAAACAGCTTACAGGAGGAGGAGCGAAAGCTCATGCTCCCCCTCGCTGGAGCTCAGCTCTGCAGCGAGCACCCTCTCAAATGGCTTAGGACCTCAATACATTACAGATATGCTCACTGACTACAAACAGATCACTCAGGTTTTTAGGATCAAATAAACTAGAAATGCCAATGGTTCAGTCAAATCAGGGTAAATCTCCCTTCAGCTACTACACCCCACACTGCTGGAATCAGCTTCCGGAAATGATCCGATGTGCTCCAACATTAGGCAGATTCAAATCAAGACTTAAAACACATCTGTTTAGCTGTGCCTTTACTGAATGAGCACTGTGCTACGTCTGACAAATCGCATTATTATGTCTTTCTTTTCTTTTTCATTCTTTTAAAACCTGTTTAATACATTTTAATTGTTTTTTATTCTTTATATTCATGTGCTGATACAGTACTTGTGTCTTTTATTTCTATTTATGTAAAGCACATTGAATTACCATTGTGTATGATAATCAATAAACTAAACTAAAATTGCTATGCTGTGCTTTACTGCTGTCACATGGTGCTCAACTGTATAGCATTGATTCAATAAGGAGAGTAATGACACATGACTGACAAATGATAATGTGTTATTTTGGGATATGTCCACTTAATCCCATGGTTCAGTTTATCCTCATAAATAAATTCAAAAGCGAAACTGCATGTACAAAAGTGCAGACACATTCAAGGCACTTTCAATATCTTACATTTTCATAGTGACTCCATGATACGAGCACATTATATCACTGCAATATCATTGCATCTTTACACACATAAGAAATAATTTCTGAATGTCATCATGAATGAAGCAGTTTTTTGTGTTGTGCTATATTGTAATTGGCTGTTATCATGACGATCACAGCACACACAGACAGCCCATGTAAATCTTGCGCAAGTTAGATTAGGGTTAGAGCTAGCTGTAACTGTAGCTAACTGTAGCTGCAGCTACTTGTAGCACAAAAAAGTACACATTTGCTTTACTTTAAAACAAAACACGAGGAAACAAATGCTCATATAAAATTAAAGGTGTAGTAGGTGATTGTCTTGAGACATTTTTTGTTGTGCAGGGGTGCGTTTCGCAAAACCATCGTTAGCCAACTAAGGTCACAAGTTCTGTCTTTACAAGCACAGTTTGTTGATTTGCCGTTTCTAAATTCCGATGCTCCAACGAACATTCGCATTACTGCATCAAAAACTTGACGACTCGCAACTACAGCTCTGGAGCTGTAGTTAGAAACATAATTCCTGGCTGTGTTCTATTCCCACTTATCCCCCTATGCCCTATTCATTTAGAACATTCTAACATTAAAAGTTGGAATGATTAAAAATAAAAATAAAAACCTTTAAAGTCATCTCTCTTGTTTTTAAATTATTTTTACAGTTCAGTTTTAGCAATCTTCATGTTTACAATTGTGCTCCCTTCACAGTGTACTTTGAAAACTTTGATGTCATTTTGAACACAGCCTCATGGTGAAAGCTATAGATGACTTATTTTTTAAAAGCAGAATTAATGTTATGTCTCCAAAGCTTGTGAAAACAAAAAGCATTCGTTAATTATTTTAAATTATAGTGGGTTATTTATTAAATATCTGTACAGTATATGACATGGGCCTGCTGGTTAGAACTTGCAGTGGTTTACATGTGTCAAATTGTAAAAGTAGACTATTCCAAAAAATTTAAAATAAGTAAACAATATCCTACTTGATAATAATAATAATAATAATAATAATAATAATAATAATTATTATTATTATTATTATTATTATTATTATTATTATTATTATTATTATTATTATTATTATTATTATTATTTGCATCATCATCATTATTATTATTATTGAAGTGGGATTTTTTTCCATTTCTAATAAATAATAAATATTACATTTCATTTTATAACAAATAGCCTCATTATTTATTTATACGATTTATATATGATATTAGAATACGTGTTAGCTTTTGTAAGTGATATGTTTTAGAATAGAATTTATAATGTTCAACTTCTCAATAGTATTAGTAAAGCAAACATAGGCGCTATATGTGTCGTTTATACATATTTCAGTTATGGAAAGCGAGAGCATGTTTTTACCGAATCTAATATTGGATTTTATTTTAAATGTATGTGCGTGTAAAACAATATAATTTGCACAAAGAAATTATGGGGTTTTCTCTAAAGAAGTAGTTACTCCACCCAGTTTAGAGCATCATTATGGGCATTTTACGTTATAACTAACGTGGTTCATGCGATGAATCTGCGACAGAGAAACTAGGGGTTTTGGGTAACACTCGTCACTACATAGTTCTTTTCCCAAATGATGCATCATACTATAATAGTTCAGCCGCGAAGTCTCTTCACGTTCCAATTGTAATGACTGAAGTAAATGATCTAAATGTATTTATATTTAGTATATATATTTATTTTTATCAGACCGACAATTCCCATAAATCTGATAAGTAGCCCAAAACTGTTTGTCAACAAATGTACATATGCACACCCGTTCACACAGATCTGCCATTCACATGCACACGAGAGAGAGAGAGTGCATGGTAAAAACAAATGCTGAATCAAAACTTTTTTCAATCCTTAATAAATATTGGAGTAACTTTTGCTGGAGGAAGGATGGCACCATGGCTGAAGTATTTCTTTTAGACAGGCAATATTATGTTTTAAAAGCTTATGTAGATATGCATGGAAGAAAAATAGAAAAATCTATTTTCAATTTCATAAGGTACCTTTTATAGCATCGATAATGTTGATTTTTATATAGTTTAACAACAAGTAAATAACAATAAGTAAATAGCACTAATCCTAGCCTGCTTAACTGAGGGGAAGTTAGTTTTCACATCACAATGGTTAATTTTTGAACAATGACAATAGGTGATGAGAATTTTGTCGGAAATTGTAGTGTTAATAAAGCACTATAAAGTTTTCTAACTGGCTTATGACATGAACTAGTGGAATGTCTACATTTATCTTTAAGGTGCACTTTCATGATTTCAGCAGGCGTGGCTTTGGACAGCAGGGGTGGGACTGCGTTTCAAAGATATTATGCTAATTGGTTAGCATTTTGGCAGATCACCTACTGCACCTTTAATACCATGATCATATAAATTTAAACCAGTGAAAAGTGATTTAAGACATTAATATCTGAGGAAATTCATTTCAGTTAAAAATTTAGTTTATTCGTGAAAGGGAGCTCCCTCTCTCGTTCAGAATGAAAACACAGTGTAGAGCATATTCTTTTAGTACACTCAACAAATCATCTGTTTTACGCACTGCTGCACAGTATTGTCATGGTAACGAGAGATTAACAAATATGAGTCAAAAATTAAATAAATGAATGAGAACGTTTTTAAAAGCAGATTTGCTCACAAATGTTTATGTTTTTTTTCCATTATATTTATAACCATTGTATAGGGGTAATGTTTATATTAAAGGTGATAAAATCTGACATGACTTGTCTTGGTCTATTTTTGTTTTACATCAAAGAAACTTGCCATTTTAACAGCGGTGTGTTTTAATTGAATATAATCAATATATAATCTATAATATAATAAACATAATCAATAATCATTCCAATTTCTTTATCTGATGCAGAGTTCACACTATGTGAAAGCATTAGTGAAATAAAGAAACTTTGCCTGTGCAAGCTGCATGGATATCAGTGACTTTGGTTTAGCATTTATACCAGGTCATCTGAACTTTTAAAAGAGAGACAGAAACAACTCACAATTTATTAAAAATCTCTTTTGGGTTTAAAAAATATATTTTTAAATTTAGGGTGAGTAAATGCTGAAGTTTAAATTTGGCCAGACTATTCTATTAACTATCCAAAATGTAACAAAACAAGTAAATATAAGACCCCCACCGTCCACTCCTGTGACTCCACTCATTGTGCTGATGACTTTGTGGTGGCTGGGCCAGTAGTGTGGCATGAGGAAATAAGCCAAGTCTGCTATTGGATGTCCAGTAGTGGATAGTTCCCAGTCCAGCAAAGCTAGCACACGAGCCTGAAAAATTGAGATAAACCTTTTTATATTTTCACAAGATGTAAACGTATTAATTTTGTATACATACATAAAGAAATACAGAGAAAAATCGAATATGGATTCAATCCTTCTAAATAGCATATTAAGCATTTTTTCCATAGTGAATCTTTATAGAAAAAAACAAAGCTTAATAGACTAAGCCAATTTTTTATATCAAAAACTGTACAGTATGGGTGTGAGATATGACAGTTTGTAACTGTGTATAATTAAAATGTCTCCATGTTTAGCAGCTCTTTCTTTTTTGCCTCATTATAGAACACGTTGTATTGCTCAAGTTTAATAATTGGAAAGTAAACTTTTGTGTGACTAGTGAAGGGATGGTGTGCTAATTTGTAGTACTACTCTTACAAGTCTTGTAATTAATTAGGTCATTATTTTTAGAAATTGACTTTGGCAAATGTACCGACAAATAGAGTCTATTATTAACCACATGTTTAATATGTATTCAAAATTGTCTATTTGGTTTACTTTAACACATTTTAGAAGTAAAGATTTTTGTCAGTTTGACTCACAATCACAATTGCATTATTTGCTATATAGACTGACTTATTATTGATAAGACACGTTGGAAAAAAAGTAGAAAAAAATGTATTAAAAAAAAGCCAAATCCTTCATTTTCAAATAGACTTCTATTATTACATGTGGATTAATGCTGACAGCACTGCATGCACTGCACCATCCAGTCTATGCACTGCACTAGTGAATGGTGCCATCTGGTGGAGCTCCTGAGCGGATGTAAACTAGTGAAGTAATGCCCAATTTCCCTCAGTAATAGCTGATTTTAATCATATACAATCACAAGTCAGTTAGCCTATTGAATTAAACACTTTTACTGTTAACTTTAAATAAAACTAAAAGTGCGAGTCAGAATTAAATAATCTTAATACTTTGTCTCTCTTGTAAATTTGCATTTGTTTAATGTTATTATTGGTAGTAGTATTTTTATATGCATATATTGTGCTCAGTATACACAAGTACACCCCTCACAAATCTATCTTTTAAATTCATATTTTAAATGGGAAGCTATACAATGCATATACATTAGATTAGTCAGTACTGAAGTCATATTTGGAGCTAATCTAACAAAATAACTTATGATAACGGTCCAAAACCTTGTACACCTAAATTTATGTTATAGAAAAAATATTAAACACAAATTTAAAAAGAAGAAAAATCAAGAGAAGCAAAAAAACATTTTACTTTGTTGAAGTTTTGTAGGCTGTAAATTTTTTACGATATTTTGCTTGAATTTAATTGTACTATCTTTCAATTTCTGAATATGTTTATTGACTAAAATATAGTTTTAATAAATTCATTTTTTTAATAAATTTGTTTTGTTTAAATTCACCAAAATCTATTGCCTATATTCACAGAGAAATGGATAAAAATATTAATTTTCAAAATGAAGTGCATTCAATTATGCTGAGCACTGTATATATACTTGTTTCAGATTTAGGTCGGGTTTTGAAAAGTGTAATACTTAAAACACATCTGTTTAGCTGTGCCTTTACTGAATAAGCACTGCATGCTACATCCGAGAGATCACACTACTTGAGTCTTTCTTTTCTATTTTTTTTTTTTATTCCTTTTAAACCCATTTATAATCTATTATTAATCATTTTACTCTTTATTATGTTTACTTTTTTATACTTGCTGCACTCATGCGACTTTTATTATTGTTTATGTAAAGCACTTTGAATTACCATCGTGTATGAAATGTGCTACATAAAAAAAAACTTGCCTTGTCTCATATGCACCTTCCATTAGGGTTTTTGAATCATGGTTAAAACCTATTTACGTGCCAAGTGCTTTTTCAGGCGTTTAGTTAATTTGTTGTATTTGTTAGCCTTTTAATGGTTATGCGTAGTTTCTTTTATTTTTTTAAGTTCTTATTATTAGTCTTGTACAGCACATTTGTACATACTAAGTTTTTAAATGTGCTTTATCAATAAACTGACTTGTTTGTCCAATTACCATTGTTTTAGCTCTAAACGATCATTTTCTAGAAAATATTGCATGCAAAGTTTTACATCATGCACAACATTATTTATCTTAAGAGGATGGTAAGCGAAATAGTGATTTTAAAGAAGGCATGAAGTAATTACCTCTGTAGGGTGAAATATCAGGTTGTCAATTCGGAAATCACCATGAACAAGAGACACTTCATAATCACTGACTGGCAAGTTGTTGCTCAGCCAATCAGAGAGTTTACCCATGGCTGGAATTTCTTTGTGGGCAGAGGCTTTATACTGCTTTGTCCATGTGGACACCTGAAAACAAAACATTCGAGTTCAAAGAATTTCTCAGTGGGTCTACATATAAACATAGATTGTAAAATGACACTATAGTAAGATTTTATCAATATGATTTTAATCACAAAAGTGCGCGACTAATGATGCTGTTGTCTCACCTGTCTCTTACAATAACCTGCTCCCTTCCCGTACCCCAGGAGGCCAAGTGCTTTAACATCAAGAGAGTGAAGCTTGGCTAGCGTCTCCACTGCAGCCACATATAGTGCTGTGCGCTCTGCCACACTGACCTCTGGGAGGCTCAGGTCCCTGAAAATCCGTCCCTGATGTACATGTATACCAGAGGTTGCATTAAACTTTGTCATTGTTCTGTGTTGTGATGTACAATGTAGTAACATTTTTTAGAAATTATTATTTACTTATGAAAGGAAGACAGGTAGTAGCTTCAACAATTAGTAGAATTAACAATATTATTATTAAGCGCTATAATTAATGACAATTTTTACTTATATGCTTAAAAAACTGATTGCATTTTTTATTCAATAAAAAAAAAATCAATGAAAAGAACAAATTAACAAGAAAAGTCACCCGTCTTCTCCATGTAACCTCCTAATGTCCTGATGTTTGCTATATAATAATAATAATAATAATAATAACATATTTCTAAAAAGCTTTGCTATTGTGTTGTTTACATGTTATATTTCTAATGTCTAGTATGAAGAATTTTTTTTTTTACGAAAAATCCAACATATTTAACAAACTGCATGTGCCTGCCATAAACTTCATAATCCTGAATTAAAGCATGAAAGACTGAATGTTGAAGTCCAACATATTAAACTAGAGGTTAGTTTTAAAAATTACATGTCAGTTTTTAATAGTATACTATTGTGAATAATTGTTAAATTTAATGTACTCTCCTTGTTTTTTTATGTACAGTGGTGTGAAAAAGTTATTTTTCAAACACTTGGAATCAAGGTTATAATAGTTTCGGATTTTACATTAGTTTTAGTTTTTATTTTGTTTTGAATTTTTATTTTCAAATTCAGTTAGTTTTAATTAATTTTTAGAGGCAGATTTTAAAATATTTAAAAATTGTTTTAGTTTAGTTTTTATTAGTTTCAGTATCAGTTTTAGTTTTTAGTTTTATTTTTTTTGTTTTGTTTGTTTTTTGTAAATTAGGACATTATTTAGATGCAGGATTCAAAATCATCAGCATAAATATTGTACAATAAAAACTCAACCAAAGAAACAAAAAGACACATGACACAAGAACACTAGCGTTACCATCCACAATCAACATCTACCCCATCTCAAATTCAAATACAACAGCCCACAAGATGGCTGCCTTAAGTAAAATATGTGTGCAAAGCTTAACGTTACTGGGGACGCGAATTGTTTCAAATGATTCAGTTTAATTTGGTGAATTACAGTACTTCAACAAGTTCACTTAGAAAATCTGGTTAAAAAAAATAATTTGTTTGCGATCACTAATACAGAAATAAAACCCATTATTGGGCACAAGTGTGTTAAATGAGCAATATCAGACAAGTAGCAGTGCGATATGGCTGTATATCGGCACTGGTGGGAGGCGTGTGATGTGCCCCCACCAGTGCCGATATACAACCATATCGCACTGCTACGAGTGTAATATTGCGTTTATACAACAGTTTGATGACATAAATGTGTATATAAAAACAAAATCAAACATGGAGAGTCTCAAAAACCTTTTTGTATGAGGAACTACTTTCTTCCGCATTGGATTGAAATCATAAGCTGACAGTTAAACTGCTGTTAAAACAGTTAAAAGCATCTTTTAAACTTTAGATCTGTAATGTCTGCTTTTTGCTGGCTGTGTGTGTGCGGAGTATTACACAAAGGGTAAAGAGGCTGTAAGAGTTCTGATATTGCAGAATATCGCACGGCTTTCAGCCAATCAGATTTAAGAAACAAACAGAACTGTTGTATAAATTAATAAATTTAAGTGTCTGCTAGGGTTGTATTTAATGTTATCACCATGCTGCTGTCATGTCCAGCCATTGTTTTTGTCGTAGGAGCAACAGCGAGGATGACTAAAGGAGAACCAGCTTGATCTGGCCAATGGCAACAAGATTGCAAAGTAAATGGATTTACTTCTAAAAGGCTTACAGTATATTGAATATATTTACAAAGACGAAAACGAATTCTGTTTTTGCTATAATTTTAGTTAGCTTCAGTTAGTTTTGTATGTACACAACATACTTTTAGTTAGCTCTAGTTATTTTTTTTTAAACTCTCGTTTTTATTTTTATTTCAGATAACGAAAATGTTTTGGAATTCTAGGTTTTATTTTTCATTCGTTTTCATAAACTATAGTAATCTTGTAATGAGTCTGTTAAAGCGCTGTGAAAGAATTTAGGCAAACTCATTTTGGCAGAATTGTAATTCATCTCAATTGGATACAGGTCAGGACTTTCACCAGGCCACTCCAAACTCTTCATTTTGTATTTCTTCAGCCATACAAAATTGGACTTCCTGGAGGGCTTTGGATCATTGTCCTGCTGCAGAATCCAAGTTGGTAAAGACTGAGGTCACTAACAGATGGCCAGACATTCTTCTTCAGGATACTTTTGGTCCTGATGCAGCAAAACATGATCACAATACCACCCTCACATTTTACTGTTGGTATGATGTTCTTTTTCTGAGGTGCTGTGTTACTTTTACGCCACACATAGTAGGACACACAACTTACAAAATGTTTGAAAGGTTCCAAAGTTCCAAAAATTGTGACATAATATTTTCCCAAAAGTCTTGGGATCATCAAGATGTTTTCTTGCAAAACTGAGATGACCCTTTATGCCATTTTTGCTCAGCAGTGTTTGTTTTTGTCTTGGAATGGTGCCATGCAAGCCATTTTTACCAAATTCTCTTTCTTATGTTAGAGTCATGAAGACTCACCTTAACTGAGGTAAGCGATGCCTGCATTCTTTGGATGTTGCCGTGAGGTCTTTTGTGACCTCTTGGATGAGTTGTTACTGCATCCTTAAAGTAGAAGGTTTATACTTCTGCTGAAGAGGATACAGGTACTTGACTGGCCTGCCTGCAGTCCCAACCTGTCTCCAATAGAAAATCTGTGGCACATTTTGAAGTGCAAAATACAGCAACGGAGACCCTGTACTGTTGCCAACTTTAAGACTTGTTTGCTGGAAGAATGGGACAAAATAGTGTCTTCAGTCCCGAAATGTCTTTTAAGTGTTGTGAAAAAGAATGGTAACACTACAAAGTGGTAAATGCTTTACTGTTCCAACTTTTTTTTTATGTGTTGAAAGAACCAAAGTTGGAATACATGTTTATTTAAAAAATAAATAAATAAATAAATGAATAAATTAATAAATAAATAAATAAATAAAACTATAAGAATCATCAGGAACACATTAAATAATATTTTCTGTAATATCTGGAATATAATACAAGTAAAAAAAAATTAAAAAACACTACTTTCTTTTTTATTTGCATTTTCATATTTTCTTAACTTTATCTGTTGTAAAAAAAAAAAAGGAAAAACAATTTCCTGGCAGATGCCAAAAGCTGGTAAACTGTCTGCAGATCTATTAGGAAGAGTGTATTCAGACTAGACCTGTGCAGGACAGACTTTTTGGTAGTACCTATTTAAGTTTGGTTGCACTCCTGTGTAACATCTGTGTTAGATATGAGCAAATACAATGTCACATTGTTGACCGTAACTATTGCAACATCGAAAACCCCAATGCATACACCACGCTCGATCGGACAAAATGCTTTCACTTTAGGAGAAACAGAAGGCATCGCTTTCTGCTTCCCAAGTAAAAAAGGGCATTAAATGTGCATCCTTGTTGCTCCTTTGAATGGAAAGAGATAAAAAATAACTACAGATTGTACATACCTGTACATGCTCCATGATGTAAAACTCTGTGCCAATGACACCAGTATCTGCGCAGTATAACACAGGGCAGGGAACAGGAAAGCCAACGGAATGTAAAGACTTTTGAACAGCATACTCTCTATCTATCTGTAAACAAAAAAAGTCACACAATACATGAATTTAAGTATTTCTTTAAAATAAAGCAGAGCTGGGAATCAGAGCTCAATCATGTTTTCACAAAATGAGAAATAGTCCAAGGTCCTGTGTCATGTACATACCTTCTTTATTTGTGCTCCTTATTCCTCATTAATAATAATAATAATAATAATAATAATAATAATAATAAAGAAATAAAATATTCAACAAAATGATAAAAAATTAAAAAAACTATACCTGGCATATTTTTATTACCATTGGCTTAGTTAGATGTAGTTTATATGTAATATGCGTCAAAAAAGTGTAAAAATATTGAGCTATACTATTTTTGCTCCAATTAAACACTAACTTACTAAAAAAAATAACGAAAGAAGTTAGTGTTGTTTCAACATTTATATGTTGGCCACTGAATTGATGTAGTGTATAATTATTATTTTTTTAAACCATAGCAAAACATATTTAAAGAAAAAACATTAACTCAATAAACAAAATTAAATTTGAAAATTTCCTGTATGATTCACTTATTGTTTGGCTCGATCTCCCTCTACTGGGTAGCTTACACTTTATGCTATGCGTTTTCAAGTTGTACAGTGGTGTCAAAGTCCTTTCCACATGTTCACATAGTGTCTGACGCAACTAAATTAACTTTTATTAAAATCATCATTACAATTATTCACCAAATGCGCATTATTCACAATAATGCAATTTCAAACACACGATAATACCTTATGAGCTCCAGGCAGCAGTTGTCCAGGAGGTTTCTTTCGGAGCACATAACGCTTGTCTGCAGCCTCAATGTAAAACGTTGGGTTGGATTGACCAGCCCTATTTAAAAAAATTAAATAAATAAATAAAACAACAAACAAAGAATGCGATTAGTTTGCATGAGGCGTATATTAAAGACAACTAATATTACTAGTATTTCATTACGAACTAAAAATTTAACATTTGTTTTGTTAAAATCCAAATCCATGACTGTTAACATAGTTTGTGAACTCTGACCTAACATGAAGGTTTTTAATAAATTAATATTTAGAGATTAATAAATACTGCAATAATAAATGTTTCATGCTAGTAAATCATTAGAATGACATTAATTAATACAACCTTACTGTAAATTGTTACAAAGATTTCTTACCTGTACTGTTGCACAGTTATAGTGCCTGAAAAGTTGTCAAGTTTCGCTGACAGATATCTTTTCAAGTTATTTGTGTCAAATCGGTGTTCAGGACGGACGGCAGTGGTTTGGCGATCCATTGCTTCAATAAATTAAACAGAGAAATAAAGTTCCATAAATATATGATAAAGTTCACTCTTCTTCTTCTATTTCTTTTTGGTTTGTTGGCTGTTTACTTCTTATGGGTGTTACCGCCACCTATTGTGCATATTGAGCACTTGGGTGAAGTATATAAATAAACATACAGGCCTACAGTATATACAGTATCTGACAAAATTTCTCAACCCTTTCCGCAGAAGGTATTATTTTAAAAAGATCATTAGATTATCTTATATGATGACTAGTCATATTTATTATATTACAATTTGCATGGTATGTTTTGCAACAATATAATAGCCTGTGTGTATATAATAGGCCTAATATTAATGTTATACTATCATTTTACCATGGTTTTTACATCGTTTTACCTTGGTTTTACTATCATTTTCTGTTTAATTTAACAAAATAACTTAAAATCACAGTCTACAGAAAATACTAGGTTACTGTATCCAAATTAATAGGGGAAAATATGAAATGATTAAAAGAATAAATAATAATTTCAAGGTATTTAATATTACTTTACCCATAAAAGCTATTCTGCTATCTAGACCATCGATCATCTTTAAACCACAAATAATATGTATTTAGATTAAGGCTCAATCCCAGGCCTATTTTATACCACTGGCCCTGGTTTTAAAATAGCATGTCTCTTTTATTGGCCTACATGTTACTCTGTTTAACACTTTTAATACTTTATAAGTAGTTTTGTGATTTTAACTGTATTATTTTTCGGTATTATTTGGCCGCTGGTTCGACAGTTGGATGTGCCAAAACTTTCTTTAGTTAAGACTACAGTTAAATGACAAAACTGAAGTTATTGCATTTGGGAACAGAGTAGTTCTCAATGTGAATGAGGTTCTCCTTACTATTGAAGCTTCTAGGGTCTTCATGAATTCTTTTATTTTCCCTTATTTTTCTTATTGTATCACTTTATGGTGGGCGTCACAGAGTGGGTAGCACGATCGCCTCACTGAAAGAAGGTCGCTGGTTCGAGCCTTGACTTGGTCAGTTGGCATTTCTGAGTGCAATTTGTATGTTGCCCCCGTGTTCGCGTTGGTTTCCTCCGGGTGCTCTGGTTTCCCCTACAGTCTAAAGACATGCGGTATAGGTGAATTGGGTAAGCTAAATTGTCCATAGTGTATGTGTGTATATCTGAGTGTATTTCCTGTTTTTGGTTGCAGCTGGAAGGGCATCTGCTGTATAAAACGTATGCTGGATAGTTCATTGCAGGACTAAGGGACTAAGCCGAAAAAAAAAAATGAATGATAAATGAATACATTATTTAAAGCTAGATGTTTATCTCAGAAGCAGTCAAGTTAACCTAAATGAGTTCAGACTCTTTTAGTCACATAATCTCAGCTGTCTTTTCAAAACCTGTTCAAAAAACTGAAAGTATATTTTTCATACAGATTAATGTATTTTTAAAGATTTAACACATACAAATGGCAAATAACTCAGTTATAACAGTTGACGAACAACTCAGTTTGTCAAGAGTTCATTTCCACTTAAGAGGTGACATCTGACCAGGCTTAGTAGATCATGAGGAAACAAATAATTTGGCTTACAGAAAGTGCAATGACACACATATTATTCCAGTTTTACTTTTTGAGGGATGATACTAAGGTCATCATATAATCTAGGCCCTTAAACATTCAACTTTATTAATAATCATTAAGACATAAGAAATTATACATGTTACTCCATCTTGGAGCTGACATTCATCAGAAAATCCACACATTCAATATTTATGTAGAAATTATATTTTTTAACAATGTAATCCTTTGTTTCATATGTAAAGATACTTGTGTATTGCCGAACACCCCAGTGTGTAGGCTATAAAGCAATGTGTATGTGTTTTTGTACCCACATAGGCCATTGACTTTAGACCAGCTTTTTGTTGGTTGGTCAATGGCGCAGCCTAATTCAGTTGCCTCTGTCATGGAAATCTGCTACAATGTATCAGGCCTTGGCCTTGGCCAGTACAAAATTGCTTCCTTCTTCAAAACATGTTGTTCATTAAAAATTTCGAAAGTGCGAAAAATGTGAAATGCTATCCGAACCATGACCAGGCCCGTTTCCCGGATCATTTGAGAAGTGTGAGTGCGCTGAATCGGGCTCACTGAAAGCGGTTCACTTGGGCTTTGGCGCTGAACTCTTGTGTGTGAGTGCAAAACCCGCCTAAGCTCAAAACTGAAAGCGAGATGTGACTTTTAAGGGACTGTTTCATATGGATCAATTAATCATTCTTACTGTTCAGTGAACGCAAACTGTCGTAGGTTATTAAAGACAGAAACCACTCACTAGGCACGGAAGCTGCGCACCTTCAACAAACCTCCTAATACCTGCAACATGAGGGCTTTATGATTGTTTATGAGCGTCAAAAGCAGCTGATCTGTTCGGCGAAATATTTGAATGCGTGTCACTGCATATCAAACGACATAACTACAGAAATCTCCACTGCGCTTCTGACTACCGCATAATCGATGTCGTAAGCGTGCCTAGGCCCGAATGTAATGTGAATGCGGGCCGTCGGGGGGAGACGGGAGAGGGGCCCCATGTTTCTGCTCACACCATTCCAGTCTTTCTTGGTGGCTGTTCCAGAAACTACCAGGCCATGTCTAAAATTGGAGCACCCAGAAAACTGCATGAATCAAAATCTGTGCAATCAAGTCTATATCAAAATACTTTATTTTAGAACTCTTGTCTAAATGATGACAATTGTTCCTCAAATTGTTTTAGTAAAGTATGTTTATCTATTTTTTTTTTTTGCAAGAGGAAGTGCAGCAGGTTCTTTATTGCAAAATACAGGAAACAACGGTAAACTCTTAAGAAATCCAAAGTATGGTGTAAAATATGATTCAAAAAAGATATTTCGAGTACAGGGGTTGAACTATCAAACTAAAATGCCTGGTTTCCTGCAAAGTGGCCAGAGGGATTTTGAGCCATTCTTCTTGCAGGCTCATGCTGGTAGAGGAAAGCATTTCCTAACTTGTCCCTCTAAAAAACCTCAAAGTGGCTCAATAATATTTAAATCTGGGGACTGTGCAGGCCATAGGAGATCCACTTCACTCTCATGTTCATCAAATCACTCTGTCACCAGTCTTGCTGCGTGTATTGGCACAACTTGCTGCCTTGTTCACAGATGTGTCAGCAAAAGCAACACTAACAATTTGTTCTCTTTTGTTGATGTGTCACCCATAATATTGTTTAAATTGCATTTTTTTTAAGCCAAACTAAGTTACTTCTCTGCTAATTAAACCTTCACACTTTGTTCTTATTGATATAATGTCCAATCAATGAAGACTGGCCATGAAACCTCCAACACTAAGTTGACCAGTGTTCCAGTTTCATTGTCCAACCCCTGTATGTCTGTGAGTATTTTTGTTTGCTGGTAGCTATCTCTATGCAGCTCTCACATTATCACCCACTAAAGATAAGCAGGGTTGAACCTGGTCAGTATCTGGATGGGGATGGAAATCACTTGTTAACCACCAAGCAATTTTGTGTTTGATAGAATTTTAAACATCTTGGCTAAAACAAAGTTAAATTTGGGCTGTGAAATTCTAATATTTGTCAAATGATAGCCCAAATTACACCAGTCATCAAATACAGAGATTAAACAAACTTAAGTGTAGTAATTCATTTCTGTGTATTTGTCCAGTCTACTTTCAGTTTTTTCTTAGACATCTTTTAGATTTTTCACTGACAGCCTAAATCTAGCCTTGCTTTAGCCAAGCTGTCTATGTTAAGACATCTATTAAACTTCTTTCATAAACACAAATTGCTTATGTGGTAGGTTGCTCCTAGAAGAGGTGCTAGTCAGGCAAGCGGTGTATGCTCACCACTTTGATGAGGTCTTTGTGGGCCCCAGTTCCCCATGAAAGGGACAAGTTACTGTCAGTATACACCGTATACATTTCAGATAAGATGGGAAACCAAGGTTCTGGCTCTCTGTGGACATAAATCCCAAGGTGTTATTTGAAAAGAGTATGAGTGTGTCTGATATCCTGGCTAAATCTACCCCCTGTCCAGCTTTTTAACCATCCTCATAGCATCTAAGTTGCTTCCACAATATGTCTCCTCACCACCAATAAGCTGGTGTGTGGTGTTTGGTCTGCTATCAGTGTCAAAATTTGAGGGGATTTCCTCCCAAATAACTAATGTAAAGTTAATTTATAAACTATTTTCAAGAGGATCACATGCTTATGATTGTTCTCAGCTGTTCCCGCATGATTGATTCTCCAATGAGATGATTCCTAACTCATATCTACTAAACCAGATGACATTTCTGTGCGGATTTTGCTCGTTCCCCCCCTTGTTCGTGTGCATTTTCCTTGGGTTCTTCAGTTTCCTCCAACAGTCCAAGACACTCAATCTAAGTAAATCGAACACACAAAAATGAAACCATTGTCAAGCTGTTAGCAAGTACACCTCTTCTCAGTCATCCATATCCATTACTTATTTCGAAATAAGCCGGGAGGAGTTTATCGAGATCTACCTGAGCTCAAACTCCCTTTTCTCCTTCCAAACGGGAGGGAGCCCAGGGCTTGAGGATCTCATAACTCAGGGCTCTCTCCTGTGATGCATGCCAAACAAGCTTTATTATCAATCATCAGCTAAGTGTGAACTCTTGAAAGCATTTGAGTGGCCAGAAAAGTGCTATGTAAGACATAATAATTATTATTATGTCTTTTTGAATCAAAATATCTTCTAAAAACATCAAAATTTAACATAAAGCCAAACCATAGATTCTCTGCAGCGGTCTAATGTTTCATACAGTCCCCCAGGGATAATGGGACAATCAGAACCATCAGAACTAATAGAAAAATTTGAACTTGTTTTAAAATGTTTAATTGATCTGGTTCATCTCTTTATCTTTGTTTTCAATTATGCTTTTAATTCATTTTTAATTTGAACAAAATCATAAAATTTTCTAAGTAAAAAAAAACATTTCAATCGGAATCAAAAAGCAAGTCTTAGTCTCCTTAAGAAACGTCTATCACTACCTGCTCAAACAAACACAAAGGTGAGAACAGGTCTCTAGAACTCTGCTGGCTGTCCACAAGTCCAACATAGTTTGCTTAATCAACATTTAAAATCATGTTTTAACCTAATCTAAGAAGTTTAAAGAAAAAAAGCAGCCAAAAGCATGAGGCAAGTTCATTTTTATAAAACAAATTATTTGTACAACATATTACATGGCATGTTATTTACAAATTATTTACAATGTATGCCAATTGTTTACATTTACACCATACAAACAATTTGTAATACATAACATTATGCACATCAGCCCTTGACCACAGTAAAAAAACACTATACATAATACTGAATCATTAAGTATGCAAAACAGTGACAGACCGTATGAAATAGTTATATTTAAACCTTTATATTAAAAATAGTATTAACAAACTCTTGAAATTGCTTGACCAAATACTTCAATAGCACAAATTCAGCTTCCTTCCCTGCTCATGTGATAGTTTTATTCTTACTATTTGAGTGCTTTACAGGTAGTTATGTGTTTACGTATACAGTTGAAGACAGAATTATTAGCCCCCCCTTGAATTTTTTTCTTTTTTAAATATTTCCCAAATAACGTTTAACAGAGCAAGGGAATACTATTTTTTTCTCCTGGAGAAAGTCCTATTTTATTTTAGCCAGAATAAAAGCAGTTTTTAATATTAAACAAAAAACATTTAAGGTCAAAATTATTAACCCCTTTAAGCTATATATATATTTTTTCAATAGTCTATAAACCTTCGTTATACAACAACTTGCCTAATTACCATAACCTGCCTAGTTACCCTAATTAACCTAGTTAAGCCTTTAAATGTCACTTTAAGCTTTATAGAAGTGTCTTAAAATATACATAGTAAAATATTATTTACTGTCATAATGGCAAAGATGAAATAAATCAGTTATTAGAGTTGAGTTATTAACCTATGATTTTTAGAAAAATCTTCTCTAAGTTAAACAGAAATTGGGGGGAAAATTAACAGGGGGCAAATAATTCTGACTTCAACTGTATATTTATGTAGGAATATACTAGGAGTCATGTGCAAAATGAGTGAGACTCTCTCAAAACAGACAACCAACCCAACAGCAGACTTGACAACGCTCTGTTAACATGTTAAACAGCTTGTGGTACAGGTCATAACTCCTGCTTTCTCCATCTAAATGAACAGAATGTGGAAATATAAATGTATATAATCTAGTCAAATTAACTGTGACATTTATGTATATAACAAAAAAGTTATATTCTTTGGTTTTTAATTACCTAATTTAATTCAAAACTCTCGCTAGGGTGTGAAAACATTATAAACCTCTTGTTTCCTGAGCTTGAGCTGAGCCAAAGTGAAGCAAATGCTAAAGGTAGGGTCTCAACGACTGTGGGTGATACTTTCAAGCTGATCAAGTGAAACCTCAGGGTCTATTCAAGACCCTAAAACAAGATCTTCAACTAAAAGTAGTCATGCCAGTTTTATTTTTTAGTTTTATGTCTCCACCTACAACACTGCCCATCTTCCTAAATCATTTTATAGACAAGACTCATTGTAGACTTGTTTTCAGACTTGTGATAAATTGTGCAGACTGCAGACCTGTAAGAGACACTTGCAGGCTCTTGCAGACTCATGGACTTCTTGAAGATGCTGTACTGTATGGCTGCAGACTAACCAACAAGTCTCAATAAATCAATTCAGCTTGTTTGAGTCGTCTGGACTGGGTTCTCATTCATTTATTTTTATTCCAACAGGAGTAAGAAATAATCAAATAAAAATTGTGCTTGAAATATTTTCCCCAATCATGTTTCCCATCATTCCGTTTGCTTGTATTTAGCTATTTTATGCATGATGGTTTCATGCTTGTGTACTTTTGATTGGGTCTGTGGGAATTTGGTGAGAAATTGATGCTGCTCACCTTTCATGTGCAATGGAAACAGAAAAAAGTTCTAGTTGATGTGAATAATGGCCCCAGCGTGCTAAACTAAAGAATGAACAGGCATCAAATTTGTAATTCTAGCTGAAATTGAGGGCGAGGCAGTGGCGCAGTAGGTAGTGCTGTCGCCTCACAGCAAGAAGGGTCGCTGGTTCGAACCTCGGCTCAGTTGGCGCTTCTGTGTGAGTTTGCATGTTCTCCCTGCCTTCACGTGGGTTTCCTCCACAGTCCAAAGGCATGCGGTACAGGTGAATTGGGTAGGGTGAATGTGTGTGTGGATGTTGTGGATGAAATTGTGGGGGGTGAAATTGTGTGTGTGAATGTGTGTGTGGATGTTCCCCAGAGATGGGTTGCGGCTGGAAGGGCATCCGCTGCGTAAAAAAAAAAAAACTTGCTGGATAAGTCGGCGGTTCATTCCGCTTTGGCGACTCCGGATTAATAAAGGGACTAAGCCAACAAGAAAATGAATAATTGAAAGTGAGTATAAATTGTAGCACATCCCATCATCTAGCAGAAGTTACACACAGGATATCTCTGTCAGGTGGAGTTCAGAGATCAGCTGTAAATGACCACCTTTAAACTGTGAGCATCACTCCAATAAGTCAGTTTCAAAAGGAACCAGATGGTAGTATGACAGGTTAGTGACATAAGCCTCAGGATCATCATCGCTCAGGTCTTGATCCACATGATCCAAAGATTCTCTCCCATCCTCATCATACCTGCATTTTGTGAGATCATGAATTTTAGTACATGATAATTTTGGGAGAAAAAGTATCATAGCTAATCAATATTTCAATACCTATGGTGTTGTTAATTTTAGTGTCACAAGTGTATAACTAATTGTCTGTCCACATACAGTCAGGTCAATAAATATTTGAACATTGAAACAATTCTAACATTTTAGGTTTTATACACCAACACAATGGATTTAAAATGAAACTAAATGAAAAGTAGTTAGACAGAATAATAATCCTAAATCACACTTTTCCTTTTTATAACTGGTTGCAAATCCTTTGCAGTCAATTACAACTTGAAGTCTGGAACGCATAGACATCACCAGATACTGGGTTTCATCCATGGTGGTGCTCTGCCAGACCTCAGCTGCAAGTGTCTTCAGTCCCTGCTTGTTCTTAGGGCATTTTCTCTTCAGCAGATGAAATGAAATCTCAACCAGATTCAGGTCAGGTGATTGACTTGGCCATTGCATAACCAGGGTATATACAGGAATCCAATAATTCCAATACCTTTTTACGATTTTTTAAAGATCTCTGAATATTTTAAGACCTCATCACAACTTCAAGTTCTATACGTATCCATAAAGAGTTGTAGTTAATAAATTAACAAAGCACCACCAAGCGACAGAACTCAGATAAGCTCGGAAGAAACAAAGCTACATTTTCCCATTTTGCCATCTGTTTTGCTCTAATGCCTCTATCACCATCCCATGAGTTCTGAGGCGTTTGGCTTAATATGAGCAGAAAGTATTGCCTGAAACACTGGCAATATACTGCTGCTTTTGTCAGCAGTCACATGATCAATAAATACATGAGCCAGTTCCATTGACAGCCATACTTGTCCATGTCATGACACTACTACCACCATGCTTCACTGCTTAGAATTATGAGCAGTTCTTTTCCTTCTCCATATTCTTCTCTTCCCATCACTCTGGTATAAGTTGATCTTGATCACATCTGTCCATAGGATGTTGTTCCAGCACTGTGAAGACTTTTTTGGAACTCTAATCTGGCCTTCCTGTTTTTGAGGCTCACCAATGGTTTACATCTTGTGGTGAACCCTCTGTATTCACCCTAGTGTAGTCTTCTCTTTATTTTTGATTCTGACACACATACCTCCTGGAGAGTGTTCTTGATCTGGTCAACTGTTGTAAAGGGTGTTTTCTTCACCAGGTTAAGAATTCTTTGGTCATCCACCGCAGTTTTTTTCCATGGCCTTCCGGGTCTTTTGGTGTTTATAAGCTCATTGGTGCATTTTTTATTTTTAAGAATGTATCAAACTGTTGTTTTGGCCACGTGTAATGTTTTTGCTATCTCTCTGATGGACTTGTTTTGTTTTTTCAGACTAATGATAGCTTGGTTGACTGAAAGTGACAGCTCATTGGATCTCATCTTTGAGAGTTGACAGTAACTGATGGCAAATGCAAATATCACACTTGAAATGAACTCTGAAACTTTTATCTGCTGTGATTGGGATGATGAGGGAATAACACACACCTGGCCATGGAACAGCTTAAAAGCCAACTGTCCAATTACTTCTGGTCTCTTAACAAGTGGGAGGCACATTTGCAAACTGTTGTAATTCTATTGTAAAACTTTTGACAATCTGCAGTTAAAGTAGATCTTGTTTGTTTAATTTCAAATGGATTGTGTTGGTATATAGAGCCAAAAATGTTACAACTGTGTCAATGTCCAAATATTTATGGACCTAACTGTATGTGTATACATTACAACAAAGGCGATTTAATGACATGTAATTCTATTTAGAAAAGCTCAATTATTAAGAACAATGACATTACAATACAATAACAACAAAATATATTGTATGAACAATAATAGCACATACTGTATATGCAAAAATCTATTAGCAATATGGGCAAATCAAAGAAAACACTGCTTTTTGCAACAACAAAATTTCATCCTTTCATCATGCAATGTAATCAGCTTAAGGTTACATGACAGTTGTGTGACCCCCACTGTGAAACCTGGCTGAAGTCACATAAACTATTTTCAAGATATATAGTTGTATAGCAATAAAAAGGAAAAAAAAATAGTATGTTTTGTTTATTGCAGTAAATGCTAGATTAAAGGTTTTCAGAAACAGCACTATATTTACATTTATAGCCTGTTAAAATCTGAAATTAACAATTTAATAAACACTATGCATTATTTTACAAAGCAAAATTGGAGATTTCTAACTAAACACTGATTTCATTCATCTCTGACTTTACTTTTGGTACAGAAACTCCTCCTGATCCTCATAGTATTATGTTAATATTACATTTTTTTTTCTTTTTAAATGCCATGTACTGCTGTGGCCACAAAAAACTTTTTTTCCCTTGTGATGAATTGTTTCTTTGCACTGTCTATATTTTTTACTAGATTAGGCATGAAGAACCATTGATTTTTGAAAAATCTTGATAAGCAAGATTAGCTATTTATAGTTGAAAGGGGGGGGGGGGGCTGTAAAGGGCAGGATGTAAGACTTCTACATAAGCAAAATCTCAGATTTGCTGAACATCAGATTATAAGGCTAAAGTTGCATGAAGATGTGCACAAGGTTTTTGAAATCTCAATAGTTTTTTGCACATCTCAAGGGAGTTTTACAAAAGTTTAAAAATGCCTCCCTCTTTCTTGCAAAATTTCATTTGTTTATAAGTTTCTGTGCGTATAAGACATACTTTGAAGCAGATTAGATGGCTTCATCTCTAGAAAGCATCTTTGGACAGGAGGGCATTAAAATATCTTCTTGTAAAGCGCTTTAGGTGTATATAGCACATACATTAAATGTGCTTAATAAATACACATAACTCACATGACTTGTCATAAACTGCAGAGTAGTGGTTAAGCATGTTGATCTGAATATCTCATTTTCTCAACATGCTAGGAAATCGTGACCTTTTATTGACATTTTTAATGTTGTTTAAATATGATAAATAACTATAATAAATACTTTTCTAACTCTACACAAGTTATTTATCAGCTGTATTTCGCATGTAATGAAGACTCAGCTAAGTATGAGACTTGGAGAAATGTCATAAAACATCTAATTGTGAGGGTCTTTTGAGTTTTTTTGCAGAGCTTCCTTCTCACACCCAGAGAAGGAAGTACAGCTTCCTGTCAGGGACAGAACATTATGCACTCTTACTACAACTTACTTCAAGTATGTCAATGGCATATAAAAAAATCCATTAAATAATTATAATGGAGAGCCTCCTATAACTATTTATCAATTCCTTTTTTTAGGCACACAGAGACTTAGACTGAGATGTCACAGAGGGATTGTGATACACTTACGAGTGCTGGGCTGAGTCAGTGGAGGATGGTCTCTCTTTGTCCAGTGGAACACTCTCATCAAACACAATAGTTTCTGTGTTCGCCAGGCAAAATCCATTAGACCTCATGATCTCTGTAGAAGTGGATGATAAGAATACAAATACATGTAAAAATTATTAAAGGTTACAATGTGTGTGTGTGAGTGTTTATAAAAAAATCCCAAAGGGTTCACAAACTTTTTTTTGCAACTGTATATATACTAATGGAGTTCGTAGAAGGTCTAGCTGATGAAATTTACATTTACTTATCAGACAGACACACTATCTCTGAAGTAGTTAGTAGTGCAAAGGTAGTAAAAGAGTTTATTATTAACTATAAAGTAGTTGCTGATAAACCTTTTTATACTTAGACTCAAAAGCAGTCAAAAATAATGATCAGACAAGATACTGGAATGCATATCAGATGGCATAAAATCAAGAGGCTGCTAAATATTGTTGTCAACCCTACAATAACAGTACATGAAAAAGTATGTATTAATGTGTAAACTAAACATTCATTTTGAATTAATGATGAGTTAATGTGTGTGCTAATGAGGAACTAGCTTTAACTAGCTTCAATATGAGTCACATGAATTCATGTGTGAATAAAGGGTATCTTAATTACTTGTTAGTTCATGTTGTTAATGAATGTATTATTATGTAATGTGTTAACTAATATTTAGGTTTAAGCTAAGTGTAACCAACATGAACTCATGAGCTGTTAATGTATAATTATGTCATGACAACTTAGAGGGGAACATCAACATTAACTCACCCTTAACTACTCATAATCTCCTGTGTTTAAAGTGTCCATGTTGATTTTGACAGAACACTTTTCTATTGTTAATCAATGTAAACACACTAAATGGATGTCTATAAGTTCATGAGTAGTTAAAATGGGTTAATGATGATGTGCCCCTTCAAGTAAAGTTATGATATAGTTATACATTAACATTTGAGTTCATGATGATTAAATTAAGCACAAACTAATGTGGTAATTCATACATTAATTAAACAATCATGTAGTAACAAGTAGTTGAGGTAGCCATTATTCACACGTGAACTATTGTGACTCATGCTGTAGATAAAGTTGGTTCATGATTAGTACATGCTAATTAACTCACCATTAGCTCATAATAAAGTAATGTTTAGTTAACATACTAACACATCTCTATTTATGTACTGTTATTGTAAAGTGTTACCATTACTGAGAAACCACATCGGGGCTTTCCAGTGCTGATCTAATTATATTGGAATAATAATCAGATTTAGGTTTGGCCAGTGCATCTTTAAAGGTTTGAATGTTTAGCATACATTTCCGAATGAACATTAAGGCCTGAGCAGCCATACCAAACTCTTACCTAAGGCATTTTGTTTTGAACTGATGCAGTTCAGGTGTAAACAAAGAAGCTGAACAACCAAATGATACAGAGTAAAATGATCTAAAATCATATTTAGTTCATCATTTCACTTGAAAATGCATTATTGACAATGTCTACATGAACGCAAAAATCGCTGAGCTTAACAACAATTAGACACATAAAGAACATAGAAGTCAGGAATTCAGAAAGTTAAGTTAAAAATGAATTATAGCTGAATTAAAATAGGAATTAAAATAGCTGAAACACTTATTCACTTTCCTTCGGGTTATTCCCTGATTTATCATGATTTACTTTGGCATGTGTTTAGTGCAGTTGATGTCTTTCCAGCCACAACCTACCACTGAGAGTACACTAACTCATGCTGGGAAACATACACACATTCCTTGTTTACACACACTTAATCACAACGGGCAGTTTAGTTCACACAATTTAGTTTACTGAATATTTTCACCCACTTCAAATGTTATCACTAAATTGAATCGGCATTATCAGTGGTTATCAGCTGATAGATATGCGCCAGTGGGGGCCTTCTGAGCTTACTGGTAGGCTCTGAAGGCTGTTATCATCCATCCAAATGGTTAATTAGCCAACCCACTAGCTAATAGAGAAGACTCCAGATCCAGATCTGTTTTTACATTACTGTGACAGTTAGGTTTAAGGTTGGTGTATAAGTAGACAATAATAAAATACAATTAATTGGAAATTAACTTCCAGCCGCAGCTGTATCTATATCTGATTAACTATAAGTATGGATGATAACAGCCTTTTGAGCCTACCAATAGGCGCAGAGGGCCCCTACTGACCGACATCTCCCACATGAACACGAGGAGAACATGCAAACTCTACACAGAAATGCCACCAGTCCCAGCCTGAACTCGAACCAGTGACTTTCTTTCTGTGAGGCAACAGTGCTAACCGTTTAGCCACTGTGCTGCCCAGGCTGAAACACAAAACAGTAATAATACAATGACGATGCACAGCATTGAACTATGGCCATGAGTAAAACAAAGCTTGCTGTCTTCTTGTGACAAACAGCCACACACCAAGAAGAAAGAACAGGATCATGTCAGTTCACAAGTCATGTCTAAAAATGCATGGAAAGTGTGATGCATGTCACTTCCTCTCTCTCCATTTGAGCGAGCTTGCCACATGTCTACATTCAAAATAACTTCAGAATGCAAAAGATACACAATATGACAACAGCCCTCACAGCTTTCTTTTATTAAGAACTTTCCGGCATCCACCACACCTACCAAGTGAAGTTGATTAAGAGACTGTACTGTACCATATACTTAATAGAGTGGAGGAACTATGACGTCTATTTGTATGCAAAAACCCGGAAGCGAGTTAGCATTTTAGCACTTCTGGTTCCCTCGTCCCAAAGTCAATGGGTTTTTTGTATGGGGTTTCAGTAAAATCACTTAAATAAGGTCCGTGGCCAACACATGTTCAAGATACTTTCACGTTTTGTTCTACGACATAACACACATTAGTTACAGCACACTTTTGGATTTTTAAATAAATTATGCTTCTTTAAAAAGACGGTTGCTAGCAAGTTGCTAAATGGGACTACAGGCGGTGTCTGAGACATTGGCATTTGGATTTGGCTGTTATTTAGGTATTTTCATAAAGAGTATTTTATAGTTTGTTGTGTTTTTCCAAATAGGAATTCAGATTGTGTTTAGATAATTCCTTAAACGATATTATGAAGAAACTGCAGTGCAGCCTGTCTCTGTCCTGCTCTCAGTAATGCAAACGTGTGAATAAATGTGTAAAAATACATGCATGGTAACTGTCATTTTAACGTGATCGAGATTTTATTCGTCATTTTTTCTGCATCTGAACACATTCTGTCATAACTGCAATATTTACACTCCTCCATGAAATGTATAGCTGATGTGACTGTATGAGCTGCTTTTCGCTGTACGTCGTGACATAAAAAGAATATTGAATGTTGCTCTGTGTCCATGATGATGGAACTTGCAGGCATTTGATTGTTCCTCCTTACGCCTCATTTCTTTCATCTGTTAGGGTAAGCGAGCTGTTTGCACGCGAGTGATTTTTAAATATGTCTCATGACAATACTATATAGGCAGATTTATACACGCAGTTCTATAACTTTTGGAACAACCGTAAAGCAAAACAGATGTATTTCCCACGTAAAAACGATTTAAAAGGCACATAGGTCTGTATTTTTGCGTATTTATGTTTATGATATATACCGTGGATTATAATATAATAAACTGAGAGAATAACTCTTTGTCATGGACAATATTTCTTAAAATAAGCTTGATAAGTCGTCTGTTGCAGGGTGGGGTTGACGTCACAGACGAGCGCCCCGAGGGCTCTGTATTCCGTTAATAGCCTAATGTTAGCTTTTCAACTCTTGCGTTTGCATTTAAGATCTAAAAGTCTTCAAAGTAGTATTTTCGTGTGAGGATAATCCGGCTGGACAAATTGTGTAAGTGTAATGCACTGTGTTTGAACACAGAGCTAATTATTTGCAATCTTCGAAAAGCCTATGGGAAAATCCTATAGGGATTTTCACGAGGGAACCAGTTTTATGCTAGCAGCCGATTAGCCTACAAAGTGACGTCATAGTTCCTCCACTCTATTGTAATGGTGAATTAAAGCAAGCCAAAAAAAGACCAAAAGGACCATCCAGATTCTCACGGGAGACAGATGCAAAAGCAAACTTTTGTTATGGAATGCTGGTGCATACATTATACTTGAAAGGACAGGGGTGTCATGGTGGCGCAGTGGGTAGCACAATCGCCTCACAGCAAGAAGGTCACTGATTCGAGCCCCGACTAGGTCAGATGGCATTTCTGTGTGGAGATTACATGTTCTGCCTGTGTTCACGTGGCATTCCTCCGAGAACTCCGACTTCCCCCACAGTTCAAAGACATGAGCTGCGTCCCCTGCGTTGCCAAATCATTGAAATAAATGACCAAACTATCAAATAAACTTGTCGTGAGTATTGCCGCATTCACCATCGGGAGGCGCTATAATCACTCTCGTAGGAGAATTTTGCTTTCACCATCAAAAATAAATAAAGTTATTCAACATGTGCGTCCGATAGCTCCGCCCCTTCTGCTACGTAAGCAAACCTGCGGTCGTTGAGTGCGTGAAGTGCCCATCATTCCACACTTCATTTTAGCGGCTGAATGAGTGCATCATCCGGGTAATTGAAGTGCTCTTATTATTTTTAGTGTTTTCAGTGTGAACGCAGAGCGATTTGGAACGCAGCTATGGTACAGGTGAATTGATTAAGCTAAATTGGCCATAGGGTATGTGTGTGAAAGAGTATGTATGGATGTTTCCCAGTGATGGGTTGCAGCTGGAAGGGTATCCGCTGCGTAAAACATATGCTGGATAAGTTGTCAGTTCATTTCATTGCGGCAACGCCTAAATAATTAAGGGACTAAGCTGACAAAATAATTAATGAATGAATTAAAAGGAAAGTTTACGCAACACAGTGCTGAATATCCCAACTCCTTTAGATTGTGTTGCAGCTATTGTGATCAAATTGTGTTTATGTTTACAGAATACAACATATTTGGTCAAAGAAAAGATTGTAAATATTTTTTTTTTGTACTTAAAGAGAATTAGCAAATGACTTTCTCTTTTGTTTATTGAATTTTGAAAAATGGAATTAGTATGTTAATTAAACTATATTAACACTATAAAACAACATAATAAATTACATGAATATTAACAAGCATTTTAACATGAAATGCCTACCTGAAATCTTAACTGGATTTTGAAAGCATGGCTGAATCTTGTGGATGTTGTCATTCCTCAGAACCTGGTCTAGCGGTGAGCGTTCAAAGAATGTTAAGACAACCTCTGACCTAGAAAACTTAAAAATCAAAATAGAAGATTTTTTAAAAAGACTTTTATTATGTAATTTTGGAAGATATTCAGGTAACTGAATTGACTTGTTAACTGATTAGAGATAATAAAGTAAAACAACACATGCAACCTGTTTTTTGGGAGTCATATTTTAATAACACATATGCTCTTTTATTCTTACACTGGTGTCATCAGTGTCACTCACCTTCCAAGGCATGTATATAGTGGCCTTCAACAATCGCTCCACTTCATTTAGCTTTGTCTCAATATCCCTCGCTTCTTTAATCTTCACAAGCCCTGTGAGAGCACAAATATATTAGTACAGCCTTTTTAACAGACAATTTCTTCAGCTCAGCATTCTGCCTTTTATTGTAGCTAATTATTATGTTGGTTTGAAAAAGCCAACATGTTGTTATGCTATTTAAACTATCTCAAGAAAACATTTTATGTTATTTATATGTGTAATGATTTTAAGGCCTCATGGCCTTCAGGAAGAAGGTAGAGAACTGACAAAATTTAAAGAGTTTAATAAAGAAAAAACAAACAAGCAGAAAACAGCTCCCCGCTGAGACTGCCGTCAAACTGAAAACAAACCCAATATAAATGTGTCCAGGTCAAGGTCGTGTCTTCCATACAAACCGTAATTTGTACGGTGTTGTACTTGTGATGCAAAGTGGATCAGATTCAAGTCTGGTAAGGGTTTATATTTAAACCGTTCAATATACAGGCGGTATCAATATACAGGCAATAGGTCATAAGGCAGGCGGCTAAACAGGAGAACAGGGATATACAAGGCTAGGGTAAAGCACGGATAAACAAGACAAGGAGAACCGCGTTGTAATGTCACTTAGCAGTAAACAAGACTCGGCCCACAGAATGGGTCAATGAGTGGCTTAAGAAGGGTGTGTAATCAGTTTCTGACAAGGCTCAGCTGGTGAGTGTAATCAAGCTAGATGAATGAGCAGGCGTGAGTGTGATCGGAGAGCATGTATGAAAATGTAGTCCAGGGGAAGGCGGAAGTGTAGTCCATAATGTTTGTGTGAGAACCAGCAATCTCTGGAAGGCGATCGTTGGTTGTGTGATAATAATAAGGCTTTGGTTTAACCACAGATTTTTTCCTTAAAATTCAATTTCATTACACAAATAAGAGTATCAGTACGACCATTTGTCTATTTATTCTAAAAGCAGCTGAGCTGTATAAATATTTCTGTTGTGATAGTTAAAAAGAATAAAAAATGGCACTCACTACTATTGACTAGGCATGGGCCAGATTCTGACGGTAGGATAACCTTGAATAAAAATATCATGGTTTGATAGTATTGCGATAACTGCTCTAAAATATTCATTCATTCATTCATTCATTCATTCATCTTCTTGTCGCCTTAGTCCCTTTATTAATCCAGGGTCGCCACAGCAGAATGAACGGCCAATTTATCCAGCACGTTTATACGCAGCGTATGCCCTTCCGGCCACAACCCATCACTGGGAAACATCCACACACTCATTCATACACACAGTCCTACACTACGGACAATTTAGCCTACCCAATTCACCTGTACCGCATGTCTTTGGACTGTGGGGGAAACCGGAGTACCCAGAAAAAACCCACTCGAACACAGGGAGAACATGCAAACTCCACACAGAAACGCCAAGGCGAGCCGAGGTTAGAACCAGCGACCCAGCGACCTTCTTGCTGTAAGGCAACAGCACTACCTACTGCGCCACTGCTCTAAAATATTTTCTTTTTAAATGTAAGGGTAAAAAAAACTTTTTTTCCCCATTGAACACAATATATTTTACTTTGACAAACATTTAAAATATTTTGTTACAGTAAACATGTCAGGCTAAATAATTAAAATAAATCATTGACTTCTGCTGTCTTTATTAGTTTCAAAAACACTGATTTCTTTACAATTTAAAAAGGCATCTTTGGATATCTTTTTTGCTGGAGAGACTTATCCTAAATAAAACACAAAAAAAATTCTAAAAAAATATTACATATATTGTTGGAACAGTATAACAAAATTTTGGCAGCTTTAAAACTTTGACTTTTCTAAACTGCGGTATACCTTGAAAGAGGTTATCAGCCCATGCCTACTCTTGACTTAATCATTTAATTGTTAAGAATTTAGTAAATATATATTATGTGCATTTAATTTATTGTAAAAATGTTTCTGCTTGAACTCTATGCATTGCTAGTTTATTTTTTTGGCCTAATGTTTTCACAGAATCTGTGTCTGTGGTATTCAAACTACAGTAACTATCATGTAAGTGTCCTCTCCAGGAATTTACAACGTGCTTATACATTTTAATGATATGCTTAATTATTAAATTGTGCTTTAAACTGGTTACATTTTAATTTTAAATCTACACTTGCTGTTAAACTTAGCACTGATATGTAGTCTTGGACATCGCTGGCATTTAAATTGATTTTGATCTGAGTGCCCATAGAGTAAGTATTTTTTAACATTTTTTATTTTCTAAAATGTAATATTTTATAAAAAGGTTTGTAAACAGCCAGAAAAGAAAACCTTATGACAAAATCAGCTCGCTCAGTCACTCACTCACTTTCAATCGGCTTAGTCCCTGCTTTGCCAGGGGTCGGCACAGTGGAATGAACTGCCAATTACTCTGGCATATGTTTTACCAGTGAGTGCCCTTCCTGCCACAACACAGCTCTGAGAGTCACCAACTCATGATCTCACAGTGCTGGGAAACACCCATATGCTCTCTATCCACACACACACATATATTATAGCCTTACACTCTCTATCCACACACACTCATATATTTTAGCCAATTTAGTTTATCCAGTTTACCTATGTTTTTTGACTGTGGGGAATCTGAAGTCTTTTCTGTGTTACTTTCATATTTTCTGACATCCATCAACCAGACACCTAATCACCTTCAAATGTGACAACCAACAATATGATGACACTAAAATATTAATTTTAAGTAATAGAACTTATGTACCTGTGACCTAAGTTTCCACTGCGCTCTGTATTATACATAATTCATACAATTATGTCCTGTTTAATTTGTGAACAAAACAGTTCCAATCAGAACAGTTGCAAATGCCACTCTTGTGGACTTAAATGATGTAGATAGAAGAAGTGTTTTATTGTTGTAAACACAAAATGCCTTGTTTTTAATGAGTATCATGTCATTCAGACCTACCCAGAGCTGTAATTATGATGATGACGGTGGAGAAAGAAAACAAAAAAAGCCACAATCTGTAGTCTAGTCACAAAGATTTTAAACAACAGCCTACTCTGAGTCCACAAACCTTCACGCTGATGTAATCACTATTCATTAAGTCCCATGCTAGTGATATTACCACTATGAGCTGTAAAGAGTTTTTAGAATATTAAATCATCTTTGAATCATGATGACACTACATGCCCTATGACTTACAATACATCTGTTAAAGAATCATTTTAACGGTCAAACTGGTTTTCTTTTTCATATCTCTGAAATAAAATATTTGGAATACAGAGGATTTTGATTGATGCTAGACACATGAAAGTCATTTTTACTGTGCCATTTTCCAAACTGAGATTTTATAGATACAAATTTTAAAAACATGTTAATAGAAAAGGCCTTAAAATAGACAGAAGAGGCACTTTGCTGATTAAATAAATGAAAACACGAATTTAACAGTGGACAGAAATATATATAAAATAATGTTATAAAGATATTTCAGACGTGTTTCTGATAATAACTCGGGACCACAAGTCAGACAGATGCAAAGCTTATGAAAGATCGCTCACAAACAAGCTACAAATATAATTTGTCTTAATCTAACTGAGTTGTTTGTCTGAACAGATATCTTATAATGCTCATCCTGTCAGGATTTGCTGTGGAAATGCCCATTTCCTGTGAGCTTTAGAGATTTAGGCTTATGTGTGTGTGTTTTTGTAATTTTGTAATTTTGAATAACAGCACATTGTTGTTAACTAATCATCAACCAAATAAATTAATTGTTTTATTTGGTTTAATGACCAATACAGTTATTATAATCCATTAAATTCCATACCCAAATTATGTTCCACTAAAATAATTAATTCAATAACAAACCCAAATGTTAAATACCCTATTACTTTCTTTTGTAATAAAGACTGTTTATTTAGTTTAAATACTAAGTGTTTGTGTTTTGTTTTATTCAAGATATTAATTGTAGACATCATGATGAGGATGATAAGGAGATGGGACGGTGGTACGCGCGAAGAAAGAGAATGAGACTTTTTTCGGAAAGGGGGGGGGGGGGGGCTTTTTGTTTACCGTCTTTTCAACAGTATTACAAACATACTAACAAACATTTTCCACTAAGGTAGAATAGAATAGAATAGAATAGAATAGAATAGAATAGAATAGAATAGAAAAGAATAGAAGAAGGCCTATAATACTATAGTAACACTTCCTTTACCTTCTAGCAGAGGACACTTTGACAAAACTCGCCTGTCTTCGGGGAAACACTCCATGAGTCTTTGTAAAAGTCTGCCTAAATCAGAAGAGCTTCTGTGCAGGTAAATAATGTTTCTGTCCGACCATTCAGTCCTTATATCAAAGAATTCCTCCTCCGCTCCTCTGATGATGAGCCTCCGAATCCCGTTAACCCAACAATCTTTCACGAACATGTTGACCAGGGATGTGCCCTCAAAAATCGCCGATGCCATCTCGAGTGCCCTCACTCCAGCATTCTGTTATAGATGTAGCCTATTTATCCTTCTGCTCAACTTCAACAGCGCTTATACAACTTAATTGGTGGAAAATAGGCTTCGTGTAGAGGTTAGAGAAAAAAAAATAATAATCCAAGATCTTGTTTTAAGGAACCTACGGTTTCGATTCGTAAACGTCATCAAATGTAGCGGGCGGATATGCAAGAATAGCACAAATTCAAACTGGGAACTCCAAAATATGAAGTAGGCTTATATAGCGACCTAACTATATCCGTCAAAAAGTTTAGGCGTTCCTATAACTGTTTGGTGCAACTTAAATTACAACGGACTACGAGTCGCTTCAATCCCTTTAAAGGTTGTTAATCAGCTAATCACAAAAAAACAAACAAACAAAACAACTCCTATTTATACTGTTTAGCTGTCACCGCTCCTTTCCTCCTTCCTTTTCATTCTTTTCCACACACAGCGCTATGCAAGGAATTCACGAGAGAGAGAGAGAGAGAGAGAGAGAGAGAGAGAGAGATTGTTTTCTTGTTCACGCCCACCAAACGTCATTCATGTTTTCAATGTAAATTTTGCTAATCATTGTAGGTTTGTGGTCTATTTGCTGTTGTGAAATGTACACAGCGACTGTGGATTTGCTGTTTTTGGGGCCCTAAGCAATTCCAGCCACTGGCCCAACAGTTCTAATATTGTATTTTTAAATTAATCGTTATATATTATAATAAAAGAAATATTTTTAACAATACTCTAAATCTGTAATAAAAATTATAGATGTAATAATTACATTCAATTTGTATTTGTTACATTCTCGACATGCAAAATCTAATAAACTATGTTATACATTTTAGATTACAGGTCTAGGCATTTATCGGTAGTGGTACACTGGGGGCAAGGCAGGAGCCACGCTTTAACATCTACCTTATTCATTCATTTTCTTTTTGGCTTAGTCCCTTTATTTAATCAGGGGTTGCCCCAGCGGAATGAACCACTAAACTTATCCAGCATACGTTTTACGCAGCATATGCCCTTCCAGCTGCAACCCACCACTGGGAAATACCCATACATTACGAACAATTTAGCTTAAATCACCTATAACACATGTCTTTGGACTTGTGGGGAAAACCAGAGCGCCTGGAGGAAACACACAAACATGGGGAGAACATGTAACTAATGTACTTTTTATACACTATTTGCTATTTCACATAATTACTCTGCAATATCTAGAAGCAAGGAAATAAAAAAATAGGCTATATTTGACTAAAAATATGACAATTACCTTAAGCCAGTATACAAATTATTATCATGAATATTTGTATTATTATTGTTTTTAATAATATTATTAGGCTTACTGTTAAAAAAAAAATCTGTTTTTTTTTTATTGTGAAGCACTTTTTTATCATTAGATAAGAATTAGACATAAATTCTGACTTCTGAGCAAAGTTTATGGTGCTGGTCAGTTTTAAATCCCCTATTCTCTAGATAACAGCAAAATATTTAAAATGATGTCCTAAAACATTTGTGTTATCTCTCATGACGTGGTCTAATAAATGTATGTACTGTGCACAAGTATTTTACACCAACATTTCATAGCCTATTTCCTTACTCATTTTAATTTAAAATAGCTCCCATAGTATTATCAAAAAAAACTGCAATATAAAAAAAATTGTTAAAAAACATAGTTCTAAATCAATAATTTAGTGAAAACTATGCTACGTAATTGACAAAACAGTAGTAAATAGTTTCGGTCCATCAAAACATTTTAAAATACCAACAGACAAGCTGTGCATGAAATGAATGGAATGTTAGTAAAATGCAGTATTTAAACCCCATAATTGAAAGGAATATCTCCAAAAAGGCACTTTTTGGAAAAGGAGGCTCCCATTTGACTAGGCTAGCTGGTCAAAATTTTGTTAGATTTGTCTAAAATGTTAATTTTATTGTTATACATCCAAAATGAATGCTACAATTATATGTAAACGTTGAAAGAAAACCTTACTTGGCAACACTTTATTTTGATTGTCCCACTATAGATAGTCTGCTGATCAAAAGGTTTATATCTGCTTACTCTGATCTGGCTATCTGTTGATTGTCTTTTAAAAGTTATTAGGCAATCATTACAACTACAACATGTACACATATGTTAAACGTTTGGCAAGTAAAGTGTTACCAATTCAGGTTTTAGATGTTCAATAGAGCATTACAAATGAAGATTTTAGTACTTTTACACAACTAAGAGCTTTTAAGTCTGTATTTATGCACATTTAAACTTTACCCATATATAAAGTTGCTTTAAACAATTTTTTAAAGATGTATTTTCAAGAGCGCTCTACTAACTGTTTGTTGCATTTGAGTTAACATTCAATTGTAACTTTGCTTTAAGGTATATTGATCTGCTCATCTGTTGTCAGGCCTAGCAAAATGAGGCGAGAAGTAGTTAGTAGTTTACTGCCCAAGTGGTTTTTGATGTTGGCTTGTAACAGTCACTTAAAAAATTGTGTATTTTCACTACATTCTGAAGTGACTTAGTAATTGGTAAGTATAACTAGTTTTACTTTTACTTTACACACAGTTACCTTATATTAAAGTATGTCTAAAAAGACCAGATTTTAAGCATAATATTCGTAATCAATATGGATATTAAAATCACTAACAATAAAACTTTATCTGTGGCCAGAAATATTTCAGATAAGAAATCCTTTGCAAAGTTGGTGTGGTGCCCTGGAGGCCTATATACAGTTGCCAATATAAAAGATTAAAATTCATTGTTTATATTGCACACAGAGATATACAACACTATTACTTCAAATTAGTTTTTATTTGAAGTCAGATCGCTCAGTAACACTAAAAATATTTCTATATATTATGCCAATACCTCCACCTTTGCCTTTAAGGCAATGGTCAAACTCAAATCCTGGAGGGCTGCAGCTCTGCAGTTTAGCTCCAACTACCTCCAACGCACTCCTGCTTAATAATATCTAGTAAAGCTGTGGTCACACTGCACTTTTCTCCCTATAGACTTCCATTCATACACACATGAATGCATCAGACCGAAAACGCAAACTTGTGCGACAAGTTTCGCAGTTTACTGCATTGGAAAGTCCAAGCTTGGTGAACTCTGACCAGCAAAATTGCATTACATGATTGTGAGACCAACCGAAGATCAAAACATGACATCTCTGGACAGAAACAAGACCCTTTAAAACAAGACTCAATCCCTCGATTTTTTAAATGTCTAATCATCTTGTTTAATCCCACCCCTTTTCGCATCGTCATACGACAGAATTTCAGACGCACAAACTCTAGTTGGGCCGCAGCATAATCTTAAACACCTTGATTATTTGGACCAGCTGTGCTTGATTAGGGTTAGAGCAAAACAGTGCAGGGCTGTGGCTCTCCAGGAATCGAGTTTGAGAATATGCTTTAAGACAGGGGGCTCAAACTGCCGGCTCGTGGGCCATTTATGGCCTGCCCTTCCCTTTCCTTTGGCCCACAACTGATGTCAAAAATATAACGAGATTCGGCCTGTCCAAACACATTTTTGAACCACTATAAAAGTTGTATAGTCGCGTCTAGCCACTTGTGGTTTTGACCCGCCCCTCAACATTTATAGTCCTGCATTCAGATTTGTTTTACTTTCATTTTCTTTCAGTGTATTGTCGAAAATAACACATGCGCTTTAAATATATGGCTGACTTAAAAGTTAAAATATATGTCCGTAAGCACTCTATTTCTACTAAAGCTCCTTTTTTTGTAAATATCCATACATATCGTTGGATTATTATCAGTTTTATACCACTTGTATTTTGTTGTACAAACACTTTTTCATGACTAACACGTTATGCTGGTGGTGTAACAAACATGATCAACTTGCTAATATTCAATTCAAATGGTCTAATTTAATAGTTTCCTCATATGCTTATTGATATTTGCATAAAAGCTATGTAGATTAGTACAATTTTACAGCCAGCTGAATTGAACTTTTTAAAGTAAATGTGAATATGTACATATTTTTCCCTCTTTGTTGTAGTTTTACAAAAAAAAAAAAAAAAAAAAAAGATATTGAGAAGAACAACTGCCAGTTAAGTCATTTAAGTTACCCAAACTGCTTTCTGCTTTTCTTATGCTATTGCACAATACAATTGGTTGGGATATAATTTTTATAATTTTGCCAATTATTTGTACTATTTTCATAGCAATTTAAACTACACCTTTAATATGTACATCAAGAAACAAAAAGCTGGAGTTTTGACCGCATATACTCTGTAAGAACGTGTCTAACGGTGCACCATGGACACAAAAAACAGAAATTTTTTAGCAGCTGATGTGTGACATGATAAACATGCTGCTTTGCATCATCACTGATTACAGGTTCTTGTGTTTGAATGTTGAAACTCTCTATGAAATGTTTAGTCACTGAAGTGGCCCCACAACAATTTGAGTTTGAGAACCCTACTTTAATATGAGACTTGTATTTATAATAATATCTTTTAGGTCACAGGTGTCAAACTCAGTTCCAAAAGGGCCGCAGCTCTGCACAGATTAGTTCCAACCCTAATTTAACACACCTGATCAAACTAATCGAGTCCTTCAGGCATGTTTGAAACCTACAGGTGTTGGAGCAGGGTTGGAACTAAACTGTGCAGGGCTTCGGCCCTCCAGGAATTGAGTTTGACACCCCTGCTTTAGGTGAAGTCTTGTTTAGGGTCATGTAATTGTCTGGTTTTGCCAGGCATCTGAATGTGTACTGAAAAGTTAATGTTTAAAAAGCTCTTAGTTAAAGTACTGAAAACTTGTTGCATGTCTACTAATACACTACTCAACATATAAAACATTAATTGGCCACACTTTACAGAACATAAGTTTAACAGATGTTACCATATTGTAGACATTGTAATGAGTGCCTAAGAATATTTAAAAGAGAATCCACAGATTCTAACCAGATAGGAGGAAGCAGATATGAACTTGTAAATTAATTTATGTACAGCAGAAAATCTATCGGGGAAGCATCAAGTATTACCCATCAGGGTGTCTGTTCTGATACATGTACAATATATGCTTGACTTATGCCACATCTCTCCACAACATGAAGCTAATTTATTTATTTATATATTTTTTAAATAAACCTAGTGCCTAACCTAATTTTTTCTTTAAAATATCAGTTGCAATCTGAAAAACATCACAATACAAAAGATGTAGCTTTTTTCCTTAAAGTCCCAATAAACCGGAAGCTGCAATCAGTATTTTTTTTTTTTATTTGTAACACAAAAATTAAAAAATTAAGGTAACACTTTACAATAAGGTTCATTAGTTAATGCATTTACTAACATGAACTAATCATGAACAACACATGTACATCATTTATTAATCATAACTGAACATTTACTAATGCATTATTAACATCCAAACTCATGCTTGCTAACATTAGTTAATGCACCGTGAGCTAACATGAACTCACAATGAACAGTATTTTCATTAACTAATGTTAACTAACATGAAAAAATACTGTAGTAAATGTATTGTTCATTGTTTGTTCATGTTAGTAAATGCATTAAGTAACATTAACTAATGAACCTTATTGTAAAGTGTGACCAATATTAATTTTAAATTAATTAAAAAAAAATTCTACTGTAGGATGAAAAGTAAGCATTTCACTCAGAAAGATCTGTAAAGATTTCAATTAAAGATTAGAAGCACAAGCTATTTTTTTCTTAATGAAATGCACAGATGAATTGTTCACCACAAAACTGGCAATGCAAGCTAACAAAAACCTATGGTTAGAATTGATTTCTTGCGGACTGTAAATGATAACTTCTTTATATTACATATACTAAAATGTGCTCTGCCACTTGCAGCAATAAACCTACATACAACCTTTCAGATTGAAGATGTTTCTCTTTACATTAACAAATTTTATGCGAAAAAGGCTTCTCTGATGCCACAGAAATCCTGTGATTAAGAGCTGTGGCTGACTGAAGGTAAATATAAATGAGACTTTAGCTGAATTAAAGGTTGATACATCAAAAAATTGAAATATTTTATTACTAAAATGATTACACTCAAGACGACATTTTCATTTTCTTTTTTACACTCCAATCTTAATTCCCCACCCCAAAAGATGTTAATTTTTTCAGTTAAAAAAAAGAAATTTGTCAAATCTATTTACACTAAATTAAAGTAGTTTGACAGCATATGTGAGACTTTTTTCAATTACGGTTCAATGCAGTCACAAAAGGGAGGCACTTGATATCAACAAAGTTAACATTAGGGACTCTGAACACAAGCAATATCATTTTCATTGGGGACACTGGTACTAGTATGCTGAAAGTGGATAGCAAAATTTGAACCTCAGAAATTAAAAACATGGCTGGTGGATACCTTTAGAAACAAATGAACCAAAAAGTGGATTATTCATATTAAAACAGGAGCTTTGAACTTTTTGGTGTAAAAATAAACCCAAGCTGCCTTTTGTCGTTTATCATTTACAAAAGATTTCATACCACCCTTACATAAAAATAAAATAATTTCCAAAATCAGCCTATCCAAAGAATAACCTTTTGTAAAGTTGATAAAATGGACAAGAAAATTTATTGAAGTAAATGTACAACAGCAGCAAAACCAAAACAGCTGTATGCAATAAACCACTTTACATTGTTTTCAAAGGAGAAGCTTGTATGAAGTTCTTATTGAGTCGATGTTCTTTGATTAGACAAAGGAATCTTAACTAAAGCCACTGGTTTAATTGGTCACCAAATGGGACACGTTTGTATTATCATTGAATATCGCAAATATAATTGGTCTTTAAATACCATTCTGATGTATTCTAAACAACTCGACTAAACTTCCGTACATTTCTGAAGTTAAATAAGACTAATTCCAATTCGCACTAACCGTGCCCCTCTCAGTGTATGACAGTGAGTGTGTGCATGTGTAATAAAAACAAGATCATTCTGAGAGATCTGAATCAAAAATTGCTGGGCAAAACAAAACAAAAATCAGTAGAAAAAACAAGAATAAAAATAGAAAATCGAGTCTTCTGATTTTGAAAATGATGAGCTGGAGTCTTGTCTCAGTCCTGGAACAAATGGTCAATATCTGAAACGTGTCATATCTTCTCCTGAATGAAAGGATGCTGCAGAGCTTGGTTGATGCTAATGCGTTTAGCAGGGTCCAGCATCAGAGTCCCATCCAACAGATCCTTCAGCTGCATGACTTTCTTCCTTTGATCCTCAGGTAACCTCTGACCTCCGACCATGTCTGCGAGAAGGTCTTTAGTGGGGTTAATGGTGCTCATGACTGTTACCTTCTCCTGGAAATAAAAACAAGCAGTCGTGTATACAGTATTATGGAATGAAATGAGCATTTAAGTAAATTAGATAAGTCTTACCCTTTCTGTCACTTTGTCGACTTCTATGTACAGGAAATTCAAGTTCTGGTCAAAATGTTGGTCTTTAAACAGGCCTTTCCGAATCATCTTTACAAAAATGAAAAATAAAACATCATATAAAAACAGACGTACAACAGCAGTATGAAATGTATGAACTTCCCTGTTCACACATAACTCTAGCATTTCCAGAAAAGATTTAAAAGTTTAAAAAAACACTGGTTCAGTACCTTGTTTGGCATCTTGCCTTTCACATCCATGGCCAGCTTTAGCATGTGGTTGTTGGAGGAGCCAGGGAAGAGAATTTTTCCTGTGTATAGCTCATACAAGGTACAGCCAACTGACCACATATCAATACCATAATCATATGGTTTTCCAATAACTGTGGATGGAAAAAAAAGATTTAGGGAAAACAATAGTTACTAAAAAGTTACTAAGCACACATAAAATCAGTTTAAGTGTTCAACAGAACAGGCATCTGAAACACAAATACAACGCAACTCACCAATTTCGGGTGCCCTATAGAATCTGCTTACTAGGTAAGGAGTGATTTCATTGTCAGCAACATGAGATGCAGAGCCAAAATCACAGAGTTTAAGTATAGTCTTTGACTCATTCACCTGCAGACAGAGAGCATGAGTAAAGAAATGAAGCCTTCTTTTGGCTCAGTGGCTAAACAGATTTATGGTTCTCAATTCACGTTCACCCCCCAAAGAGAACCACTGATACAGATGATACTCACCAGTATGTTGTCTGGTTTGATGTCAGCATGGAGGATGTTGCAGCGTTTCAGTAGTTTCAGAGCTAGAAAGAGCTGTTGACTGTAGGAACGCACTGCTTTAATATGCAGACCCACATCTTTGCCATACTTCTTCAGAACTTCCCGCAGATTCATACTGTGACAGTCAAAAAATATGGAGGAAAAAACAAATGCTGAAAATAATTCATTTTGCATGGCTTTAGACATTTAAATAGATAATTCTAATTTATTATATGTTAGCAGTTATATGTTTTTTTTTTATCAGATCTGTTTGATTCTATTTATGAAGGCAAGCAAATAACATTATAATGTATTTCCTAACAGGCGCACAGGGCACATTGGTGTTAATTTAGGATTGTTTATTTTGGTTAATTTCTTGAACAAAAATTTGACACTCGGTAACCAAGCCTTATTATATAGATAACAAGCTTAACCGGGTACATTCAAGGGGTTGCTTTTGTAGAATAAAGGGCTTCAGTCTTATGTTGTGTTTACATCATACGCGACATGCATGGAAAAAAAAAAAAAAAAACACTTTGCGCATTAATAGATGCCTAAACATTTTAAGCGTACTCGCTTCATTCGCACACTAAATTCACTTCTCAACAGACACGGATTCGCATCATGGTCAGGGCTTCTGTGGGTCTAGTGATCTAGTTTAGTTGTTAAACGGGTAACGTGGATTTTACTGAGAGTAGCGCTTTAGAAAGACTGAAGAACAGTGTACATTAATTCGGCGCTGTGTCTGAGTGCACCAAATCTTTTCAGAGGTGCACCCAGCTCTTTGAGTTCATCAACTCCTCTAGGACGATGTTTCTGACTGAGCTGAGCCCAGTTATATGAGTTGTTGTCCGGTGTCGGGAGGAGGATTTTTTCTTCGGGACACCAACTGCAGGTGCTATGTCATAATTATGCCCCTACAAGTGCAAGCTCCTAATTGGTTAATGCAGTGCGATTGTCTGGTAAAGTTCAGATAATCCAACTTAAAATGCTCAATTGCACCGCTTCAAATCGATGAAGAATGTCTATTCACATCTTTGCATGGACTTAACATGTAAATTACTCACGCTTGACGCTTTCTCTGCATCTGGTGTGAATGCACCATTATACAGGCTGAGAAAACTGTTTAGGTTTTATGTAGGGGATGAAGTAGACTGAAAGACTTTATTCTGTGAAAACAACAACCTGGAAGTACTTTATCCCAATTACTACATGGCTACTTGTCAAAAATGTTCCATAAACAGTAGAGTGACAGATAAGCATATGAATGTGAATGTACCTGATATACAGTGGTATGAAAGAGAGTTTGACCTTTATTGATTACCTATTTTTTGCATGTTTGTTACACTTTAACTTGTAGATAATGAGGTTGTAGTTGTGGCTTGTTGTCATCCAAGTGTTAGAAATGTAATTTCCATACTGGTAGACCTCAGTTTTATTTTTCATTTGGTTTTTAATCTTCTTTGGATCTCGGCATGATGTGAAGGCGTTTTGGTTTATTTTACTTGTCAGGCAGGTCCTGATTTCAGACTGGTGTCGCAGTAATCAGGCCTGGGTGACGGTAGAGAAATTTAACTCAGTTTTGATGAACCTGAGTTTGAACCTGAGGGGGGATTTATATTTTGTTTTTTAATAATAAAAAATCTAATTAAAAAAACTGCATGATACGTTTACTTAAGTCATCTAGACTAATATTTTTTATATTTGTTTGAAGACCTGAAACATTAAAAAGCTACAAACATGCAAAAAAATAAATAAAACAAAAAAATAAATAAATAAAAAAAACAGTAAGGGCCAAATATTTTTACACCAATGTATGTTTCACTTAATTCACAAAACGCATAACAAAACCCAATGTAAAAGAAAAACTGCACGCAGTGTGCAGTACGCCACTGGTACATGTCTTTCCATTACCATTGGGATAGGGCTGGGCGATTTTTCAGATTTTTTCGATTAATCTGAATTTACGTTTTGACGACGATTTAATTTTATATTAAATCAAGAATCGCGATTTTTAAAATATATATACATTTAATACATTATAATGGCACCAATGCGCTTTGGTTCACTCTCTGTGTGTAGCAAGATGCACACCAGAAGCGCCTCTCGGCGACGCGCTCCGCAGCACCATGGATTATAGAATTCTAAACAGGTTTCTATACACACACAGCCGCGCCATCTGATTCGTATAATGTTAAATTTCATGCGAATGTGCGCGTTTGGTGTGTGATAGTTTAAACTGTCATGTGCTTCTGGTGTGCGACCTGCTTGACTGCCTGTTAAAGCGTGAAGACATGTAGGATTTTACTTGTTGCATTAGTCTGAGTCACGTCTGAATTGTCAAGACATATTCCCTCATCAAGTCGATAAACTCCATCTCAACATGTATGAAGGACGTAAGAACCTGCCATGTGAAAAACCGCGCCGATCTTTTGGTTTGAACACGAGCAGAGGTGAGGGGCTGTACAGTGACAATGAAAGTACCCGCCCCCATGACGTCATTTAGCGGACCTAGTTGAAAACCAAACAGATCAGGCAGCATAATACAGAGAGTGGAGCAAAACGCATCAAATGATCGGTATTTAAAAGGGGGGAAAAGAAAAATAGATGAAATATATTATTTTATGTTAGACAAACATCTGGTACTTGTATTTGCTCCTGCTATACATCCACAACTTCACACATTGGGTTAAATTAGGCTTTACAGTTTCCATGTTCAGTCCTTCCACTGTTTCTTTTTAAGAAAAAGGCAGCAGCTTTACAACCTGTCATTCAATCAGAAGACAAAGTCAAAGCCGAGCTGACAGCCAATCTTTACACAAATATTTCTTATTCAAATTTTCAGCAACACTATTTAACTCGTAAATTTGTTTTACATTTAATTGACACCTTGACCGATTTTTGTATGACAAGGCCATTAAAAATACAGAGTTTCTTAACCAGATGGTTTTTCAAGTTACTTATAAAGAGAATGTTACTTCATTCATGTTGTTGTAATGTTGAGAAGACTGTGAGAAACACAATAAAGTTTTTTTTTTAAAAATCGAAATCGTGAATCAAACTATATAAAGAACATAGATTTTATTTTTTTGCCAAATCGCCCAGCCCTACATTGGGATTAACATTTTTAAATCACAATTCTTTCATGAAAGAGTTCCAACATAAGTTAAACAAGTATACATTAGTACAACACCCTTGCCAGTTTTCAAATGACGATGCTTACACAGATATTTAACAACCTAAACAGGACACAAGCTCACAGCAGAGATCTGAAGTTACCTGAGGGGTTCAAACACCAAACATAGATGCTGTTTGTGGTAGAAGTGTCTGAAGAGACGCAAACAGTGAAATTTATCATCCGGATCAGCATCATTCAGCTTCTTTAGAAACTCAAGCTCTTTCAGTCCTGTCTTCTGCCTGCCATCACAAACAAACAACAAATAAAAATCGATTTAATAAAAACAGCTTTGTGACACAGGACCAGTGATTGAACAGGTCACTATGCATGGGTACACAGTGTTATTTGTTTTATTTAGCAATTTACCATGCATTTGCTTCACTGTATAAGAGAAATACACTAATCTAGCCAACGGTGCAAAGGAGCAATTGAAAAAAATTTGATAGTAGTAGTTAGGTCTGGGCAATTTAATTAATTTAAATCACAAATGTGATTTAGCAAAGCTGCAATTATCATACACATCTTGTTGTTGAAGAATAGTTTGATTTGTAGTAAATCTCTGAAGGTCAGAGGGTGCTCACAGAAACTAACAAACCCCTCTTAAAACCCACAAAGAAACGCAGGAAATCCCCAAAGTGGTTGATTTAAAGATTTAACTGCTTTCATTGATTACGCATTACTAATTAACACACAACTATGGGATCATCTCTCAGAAGAATTTATTTCAAACACTTGACTGAGGTGAGTCTGTGGTAAAACCATGTTGCTCTATGTGGTAATGTTGCATGCTGCATAACTACAAAAACCTATAGTTTATTGACAAGCTGCAAAATAGCTGTCATTACTGCATAATGACTTAAAAACAATACATGACAGTTCATTCATTCATTCATTTTCTGCCGCAGCAGAGACTTCTCCCTCTCCCCTTGGGATCTCCGGGGGGATCCCAAGGCGTTCCCAGGCCAGCCAAGAGACATAAGCCCCTTTCACATATACACACCTTTCCGGAAAATTACAGGCAATTTTCCGGAAGGGTGTGTATGTGTGAACAGGCCTTTTTTGAAAATACCGGTAAATTCGTTCTGGCTGTTTTCCGGAAAGAGAAGTTGTAAAATTACCGGTAATTTGCCGGAATACTGCGCTGTGTGAACGCAAAAGGAAGATTGCCGGAAAGAGCACGTGCACATCTAGAACGTGCTGACGTGAGACGTCTGCTTTAGCCAATCAGAACAGTCAGACGCATTCACGTCCGCACGGTTTATGAGAATAAAAGCCTTTGAATATTTTTCCACATTTAGCTGCTAGGAATTAGTCAGATAACGTTTATATGTTCATCTTAATGCCAACCATGTAATTAATTATCGATAAGATGCTTATGATAAGTCGTTGTTTGTTTACCTACAAGCTTTGCGTGTGCCCATGAAACAGCCCATGAGTGCCAGCACACACACACACACACACACACGTCATGTACATCTCAACATGCGAAAGTGTTTCTCTATATGTTTTCATTGAAGTTTTTCACAATACTGATCCATCCACAGAGTTTGTGATGTAGACAAATATAAGCGTAGCCGTTTAGAGCTGGTTAATGAATGCTCTTTTCCGGAAAAATTCTGTAACATCCTCGCCTGTGTGAACAGCACTTTTTTGAATTTACAAGTTGTTTCGGAAATTTTCAATATATTTACCGGTATCACTGTGTGAAAGGGGCTAATGTCCCTCCAGCGTGTCCTGGGTCTTCCCCGAGGCCTCCTCCAGGTAGGACATGCCTGGAACACCTCACTAGGTAGGCGTCCATAAGGCATCTGAAACAGAGCCACCTCAGCTGACTTCTCTCGATGTGGAGGAGCAGCGGCTCTACTCCGAGCTCCTCCTGAGTGTCAGAGCTCCTCACCCTTTCCATAATAGTGCGCCCTGCCACCCTTCGAGGAAAACTAATTTCGGTCGCTTGTTTCCGAGATCTTGTCCTTTCAGTCAATACCCAAAGCTCATGACCATAGGTGAGAGTAGGAACGTAGATTGACCGGTAAATCGAAAGCTTTGCCTTTCGGCTCGGCTCCTTCTTTACCACAACGGACCGGTACATTGATGGCATTACTGCTGCCGCTGCACCAATCCGCCTGTCAATCTCACGTTCCATCCTTCCCTCACTGGTGAACAAAACCCCGAGATACTTAAACTCCTCCACCTGGGGTAAGGACTTTCCTCCAACCTGGAGATGGCAAACCACCTTTTTCCGGTGGAGCACCATGGCCTTGGATTTAGAGGTGCTGATTCTCATCACAGCTGCGTCACACTAGGCAGCAAACTGCCCCAGTACATGCTGAAGGTCTAAGTTCGATGAAGCCAACAGAACAACATTGTCTGCAAATAACAAGAGATGAAGGCCTGTGGTCCCCGAACCGGACTCCCTCCAGCCCGAGGCTGTGCCTTGAAATTCTGTCCATAAAAATTCTGAACAGAATTGGTGACAAGGGGCAGCTCTGCCGGAGTTCAACATGGACTGAAAACAAGTCTGACTTATTGCCGGCAATGC